GCCCCTTAAAGGCGCCCGGAGCCGCCGGGGCTGAGTCACCGCCGCCCGCGCCGCGATCCGGGGCCGTCCCCGCTCCCTGCCTCAGTTTCCCCCGCTCCCTGCTCACCCCAGGGCTTGCGGGGTGCCCCCCCCACATTGGATTGGCACACACTGGGGGGGCTGCTCTCCCGCTCCGCCCGGCAGTGCCCGCATCTCCCAGGGCTGAGTTTGGGGTCCCTGCCCCCCCTAGTGCCCCGTGCCCCATCCCCTCCGTGCATCACCCCAGGTCCTGGCTGGAGCCACGGACCCCTCTGCTGCTTGCGACAGCGCCCTGCGAAGAACGTGCACCGCGAGCACCGCCGACCCCTCACCAGGCCCGCGGGGGTTCGGCGCATCAGGGCTGCTCGCCCCCCCAGCGCCTGGCTCGGGCACCAAACGGCTCGGCTGCTGGAGCCAGGAGGCCGTAGAGGCCGCCTGGGGAGACTGGGGGATCTCCATCCCTGGAGCTGGTCTTGGTCACCCGCTGGCACTGACCAGGGAGGGCCTGGGTGCTGCTGCAGGGATTTCCCCAGCTTCTCATGGGGCTGGGAAGAAATTTGCTCCCCCCGCCTGTTGCTGCACATCAGGGGGGTGGTTATCGCCTCCCCCAGAGACACCGGGTGCGGACGGCGGCTGGGCCGGGGGCTCCCTTTGGGTCAGACTGATGCTGCGCTGGGATCAGGAAGGAATTTCCCCCGCTGTTCAGACTGGTTCAAACTGGGACTGGGGGTTGGGGGGTTTGCCTTCCTCTGTAGCGGGGGCACGGCCGCGCCCAGGGATCTCTCAAGCAGGCGTATTAAGCACCGTCGCAGCGGCAAGAGGGTGGCAGCCGGGATTTACTCAGTGCGATGTCCGGTGTTGCGTCAGGGCTGACCATAGTTCTGCGACGAGGCTGGACGACGGGTTTGTCCCGGCTGGTTTAGGACGGATGGATCCTGCCTCGGGCAGGGGGCTAGGCTGGACGGGCTGCGGAGGTCCCTCCCCACCCTGCTTCTCTAGGAGTCCTCTCAGCCCCCCACCTGCCCCAGACAGAGCTGTTTTTTGCAGATGCTATTGCCTGCTGCCTTCCTTGGGAGGCAGCTGCACCGCAGCGCAGGTCCTTGCTCTTGCAAGTGGCGGGCGCTGGGTCCCGGGGAGACGAGGGCCTGCGCTGGTGCTCTCAGCTCCTGGATCTTGCTTTGAAACACAGGATCATCAGCAACCACGCGTCTCTGCCCGAGCCCTGGGCCCACACTCCTCACCCGGGCTCGCCCTTAAGCAACCACCTCTGTTCCAGGACTGCTGCAAAGAAACGCCCCCCAAGCCAACCCCACCCTTCCCTTCCCTGGGAACCAGACCTGCAAGGTCCCCTGGGGAGGGCCACAACCCCTGTCCTGGCAGGGTCTGCGCAGGGGAGAACAAAGATTTCCATGGCCTGAACTATGCTTGTGCATCTGGCCTGGAAACTAGGCCAGAAAGATCATTCCCAGCCCTGGGGAGAGGGAAATTCTTGGCACCTTTCTCCAGTTCAGAGGGCCAAAGCTGCACCCTGGACCCTCTGCCCAAGACAAAGCCCCTCAGTCACATCCCGGGTAGAAATGAGCAGCCAGGGACAAATCAGGGCAGCCGGCGCTGGGTGGGAACAGCAGGAACCTTTCATGGGCACAGCGCTGAGGCCCGTGTTCCAGCTGCTCCCGGCCGCGCGGTTCTCCGGGAGGACCCAGCTGCGGGCTCGGGCCCCGGGGGAACAGCCAAGCGCCAGAGCTGCGGCAACTGTCAGTTGCTGCCTCTGCGTGCTAAGCAACTGCCCCCGGGGGTTTGCAACAGCCCCAGTGCCGGCTGGGAACCAAGGAGACGAGCTGTTTGTTTCACAAAGACCAGGTTTATTGCAGCCCTGTTGGGGGCAGAGCCCCGGGCACTTGCCCGGGGCAAAAGGGGGCCTGGCCCAGCCCTGTGTGTGCCCAGACAACCCCTGGGGGGACACCAGGGAGCTGGGGCACGGGTAGCAACCCCTGCCCCTGGCACCAGGATGCACAGGTGGGTCCCCTGCCGTAGCTGCAGGCGCCGTGGGGCTGGGAGGAGCTGTCCCTTCCCAGCAGCCATTGCCACGCAAGCACCATCCTCCATGCAGGTTGGCACTTCCCTGCCTGCAGTGGTCCCTATACCCTGGGTGGGGGGTGCTGGTTGGAAGTAGGCTGCAGCAACTGGGCCCCACCCTATGGTGCTTCGGGGTGGGGCAGGGGGCAGAGCTGGGGGCAAGGGCAAGGAATGCAGAGGGTGCCCCAGCTGCTCCAAGGTGGGCTCTCACAGGGGTCCAGCCCCGCTCTGGCAGGCAAGGGGAGTCGTTTCTATGAGCTGCCTGCGCTCCTCCCCCTGCCGCCTGGGGCATGTTGGGTGCCTCGGGGGCCCCGTGCTGGTGCCAGGGGACGACCACAGCCAGCTCAGGCCTCTGCATCGCAGTGCGGGTCCAGGCTGGGCAGGGAGCAGCATTTGGGCACCAGACCCAGCTGTGCCCCCAAGACCCGGGTTGCAGAGCCTGCCCAGGCTCAGGCACTGAGCTGGTGCCCACTGTCCTGACCGCTCTGGCACACACACAGAGTCCTTTTGTTGCTCGGGGCAGCCCCTGGCACTGCCCCAGGCACTGAGGGGAGAGGCAGGTCACCAGTCTGCCATAGCGGCAGGGGGGTAGCGGCCAAGAGCAGCCCCGTGGTCCTCAGCAGGGGCTCACGGCCGCTTGGCTTCACCATCCGCTGCTGTCTCCTGCGCTGGCAGCGGAGCTTCTGGGAAGACAAGGCGAGGGGTTAGAGAGACCCATGTGCTGGAGGGCTGGCACAGCCCCTCCCCCCACGCCTCCAGCAGGTCACCATCCTAGGGGAAACCGAGGCATGGAGAGACCTTGCCCACAGCCTTGAAACAGGTTGGCAGCCCAGCGAGGCATGGACCCCAGGAGTCCTGGCTCCCTTCCTGGCCATGGGGTTGGAGACAGGAGCGTGTCCCGGGGGCAGCTATGCCCGGGGGGGGAGGTTGCAGGGCCCCCCAGTTCCCAAGACTGGGTCAGAAACCAGCTGGTCCAGGGCCCACGCCTGGGGCCTACCTCCCCACTCCTTGGCACTAGGGCCCAGGGGGGTCCCAGACTGAGCATGGAGCGGCACCATCTCCTCCAGGCTGCGCAGCACCGTCATGGTGCCCCGGGCTGGCGTGGCCCGGGCCCGAGCTGGCTCCAGCGCCCTGCAGGAGGGGGCATGTCAGCTGGGCATGGGGCACAAAGCTCTGGGGTGCCCCATGCCCCCACCCCCCTTGTCCAAGGGGTCAGGAGCTCGACGACAGGGCTCTTCTCCCTTCTCTGGGCATGCCCAGACCAGCTGGCTCCTGGGGGTTGCCATTGGATGCCTCACAGCCCTCCTATACCCCACCTTGCCCACAGCTGCCCGCTCGGGGACCCCCCTCCTCCAGCCCAGTTCTCACCTGTCGGGCGACGTGACGCCTGTGTGGCTGAGGGACCGCCGTACCTGTGGAGAGACAGCAGGAACCCATCAGCACCCTGGACCAGAGCCAATGGGAGGTGGAAGCTGCCCAACCCCTGGTTCGAATCCAGGCCCCACCCCCAGACCCTCCCCAATAGCTGCTGGGAGACTTCTGTCCTGCAGGGCGGGTAGAGAGACCCCCGTAACTCCCCCAGACGCCCAGGAAGCAAAGCATGCTGGGTAACCAGGTGGGCCACTGCTTGCCCCAGTACCCGCAAGGGCTATGCCCCAACTGCACCCTGCTCCCAGCAGCCCAGCGCCCCCGACTACCCCCCGGGGGCACTGCTCTTACCCTGTGGGAGTGCGGGAGCTTGGTGCCCACGAAGTCAGAGGGCAGGGGGGCGGGCGAGGGCGGGTACAGCTCGGGGGCCAGGCGGGCATTGGCGAACTTCATACACTCCTCCAGCGTGGACAGGAACTGGCTGCAGGTGGCGCGGAGCAGGGAGGAGGCTTCGTTCATCCTCTGGAGGACAGAGCTCATCACAGAGAGGAACCCCCCCCCCCAACCCAGCCTCTCGTTCATAGGGAAATTGAGGCACAGGGCAGGGGAGCCTGCTTGCCTCAGGTAACTGCTTCCAAGAGCAAAGGAGGGATAGATGCCACCCTCCCCCTGCCAAACTCCTGCTTTAGCCACAATACTCCACTCCCCTGCCAGACACTGCTTAGGTGGTTGGACCTAGTCTCTGCCAGCACCCCAACAGAGCAAGCGGCGGCAGGTACGCTGCCTCCACCCCTCTCTCCCCGGGCACCTCGACATCCAGCGGGGCGCCGTCGTCTCGGGGCCGCGTGGACTCCTGCATGTCCAGCACCTGCTGGGTCAGCGCGTCACAGTACAGCCGCAGCTCCGACAGCTTCCGGCCCAGCGACTCGGTGCTCAGGGGCGGGTCTGGAAGGTGGTGATGGACACAGTGAGCCTGGCCGCCCCCCACCTCCCGCGGAGCGTGTAGGGGCGGAGATGCACCCACTTCTGGGGTGGAACGTTCCAACCTGTAGCAATGGGTGCGTTACAGGAGGGGACGGGAAGTGGGTAGAAATGGTCCTGGGGAGGGCCGGGGAGGGGGGCAGTTCAGCCCCACGTTGAGAAAAGTGGAAGGGGCTCATTAGCCATCGATGATGGAGCTTGCTGCAGCACAATGCCCCCTGCTGCTGTCCTGCAGTACTGCAGCCAGGCACCCCCCAACCCCTTTGCCCCATACTGCAGCCCCCCCCCC